TTCACCCAGGCCTCTGGGTACAGGAAGAGAAGACTCATCTGCCACTGTCCCTGGATGGCCTAGGATCTGGAGGAGTCTCAGAGATGCTCTTACCCTGCTCCAGCCTGGGGCTATGGGGAATATCTGTCTAGAAAGCCACACTCAGTTAGAAACAGCAGCAATGGCAGCAGTGGGCAGATTCCCCTTCCCTGCACAGTCCTCCTGGGTGTGCCCTGCCAGCTTGGGAACAGGCCCAGGGAAGGGAAATTGCCCACCACCACTGCTGTGCTCCGCCAATCCCAGCTTCCCATGTAGCTGCTCCCACAGCTCTGGCTGAAACAGGGCAGGGTTAGCCAGGATGGTAGCAATGAGAGGTGGGTTTCCCCTTTCCTCTGCCCAGAAGCATAAGAAGAGAGGGTGAGGGGGTGAATGGGAGGAGAGGAGAAGTGCTACTGAGCACAGAAGGAAAGGGAGATGCCAAGACCTGGGGGTGGAAGAAAGAGATTCTGATTTAGTGAATTTAAAAAAGGCATGGGCTGCCCACCCTGGTGCTGTGGGAACGGGAAGGTCTAAAGGTAGAAACCACTCCTGCAGTGCTAGTCACTGCTCCCACAACCTTTTTTTTCCAGAATCCTGGATCTGGATCTGGCCACAGGCTACCTCATGAACTGCAGGCAGTATAATTGCATTTTACAAGGTATTGTGTCCAGGCAAATTAGCTCTACTTCTAAGGTAATTACCCTCTAAGCTAATTATCTCACCTGCAAAACCACATTCAGGTGGCTAAACTAACCAAAACTTGCAGTGGAGTGAACTACCTCCAACTCTTGTGCTCTGTGGAGCAACAGAGCCATATCCTAGACTAGCCAATTGCCCATCAAAAATTACGGGGGGGAGGTGGCTGGGGACAGCGGCCTGCATCTGGCCCTGCTCCCCCTTTCTCCTCTTGCCACTTTGGGGCTGGGCCACCCCACCTCTGTCTGCTGGCCCCACCCTCCTATATGCTCCATTGCTGCTGCCTGCAGGGCAGGGGTGTGTGGCCAGTGGCCTTGCCCCACCATCCTGTCTATTTTCGCAGCCCAGGGTGCTGCTGGCCCTGCTCCCCCTCCATTTGCTCAGTCGCTGCCACCCGCAGGGTCTGGGGGGCCAGGGCCAGCAGCAGGGAGGAGTTGTTGGCCTGTCCACTCCATCACCTGCCAGGAGGGGTGGGGACAGAGGCCCGGAGCCAGGCTTGCTCCCCTGACCCTCACCCCCACCACTTTGGGGCAGGGGGCACTTCCACCCACCCCCACCTGGGTGGCCAGTGGGGACAGAGCCCAGCATCTGGCCCTGCTCCCCCACTCCCCTTGTCCAGCTCTGCACCCCACAACTTTGAGCCTGACCCTGTTCCCCTCCCCATTGCTTCAGGCCCAACCCTGTTCCCCCCGGCAGTTCAAGTTTGAAGCTGCTCCCTTTGTCCCCCGCCTTGCCACAGTGGCCTTGACCCCATTCTCCCCCCTCATGCCACTGCTGCCACCTCCTCCACAGAACGGCAGGGGAGCACTCCCCATTTCCCCCACTCCACCATGGGGCCAGACTGAGCCCCCTGTCACCCTCCCTGCTGCTCTTGCATGACCCAGCACAACCCCCTATACCCTCCATTTTGGGGCCTGGCCTGGCCCAGTGTGCCCCCCCTGTCCTCCCTGCCACCACTGCCACCTCCAAGGAGCGGGGGCGGGGGGGGAGCAAGGTCAGGTCCGCTGACCTCGCCCCTTCCATTCCATCTGCTCCGTTGTCGCTGCCTCCAGAAAGCAGGGCAGAGGGGGACCAAGGACACCCCCCCCCCCGGTTCTAGCCCCGGTGTCCCCACCATCATGGTGGTGCTCGGATGCACCACAACCTCCTGTCCAAATGCTGTATTTGCACTATTGTTTGGTTGTTTGGTTGTTTCTGTCAGCCAATCAGAGTACAAATAAAGTGTTATAGACAGACAGACAGAGTACAGCTTTTATAATATTAGAATTTTGCTCATTGAAGGTTGGGCATCTTTGTCCATGGATATGACCATAAACCCAGGTTTCCTTAGCAATTCCCCTTAGATAGCCCTCAGCTATCTCTTAACCCATTCCCAAACATCCCCACAAACACTGCTTCCTCCAGCTATCCCAAAAGCCCTCAGCTGTTCTGGCTTTTCCTAGCCCTCTGGTAACCTCTGCCCATTGCCCCATTACTTGTATGGCCTCCTTCAGCACCCATCCACCACAATTGTCCTATTCTGTCACTATTTGGGACACAGAGTACTGGCCACAAGCATAATACATAGGGTTTTATGCCAATATACTTACTTAGATAGATTTGCATGTTTGCAAACAATTTACCTAAGTATTGTAAATAGATTTGCACACCAATTGGTAGCTATGTATTAAGATAGGGAATCAAGGGTCAAAAGAAAAATTATTCTCTCAAGCTGTTATAATAAAAAGTAAAACCTTTTCTGACCAGATTCTTGCAATAGCCAAACAACAGTTGATGTAGTTAACACTAAAACAAATAGCTCCACCTAGTTGCTAAATAGTGTTATAATATAAGTCACAGATACAATGCACTGCCTGTATCATTCTCAGTTTGGTTGCCATGGTAAAATATACAAGGTCACATATGAAAAGCAACTGAAAAGCTAGATAGTTTTGTTAAAACTGGAATTCATTTTCAAACCTCAAATCTTCACAATATAGTTAAACAGTCCAACTTACTTTGTCCTTGCTGGTTCTCCTCTTGCCTCTAATTGTTCATTCACTGCATTCTTCAGATGCTTATCCTCATCTGCCATCCAACTTTTTATATGTATTCCACAGAACTCTGTCCTTGGCCACCTTCTACACCTTATCTGGGTAATTTCATTTGTAAATACAAATTCAACCATCATTTTCATGCTTGTGACTTTCAGATCTACTTCTGCCCCAGGTACCAGCTTGGTCAATTTCTCTGGCCATGGACAGGCATTCATTTCAGAGAAATTCTTACCAGTAGAAAAATAGTCCAGATGCAGGGTGTAAATGTGTTGTAGCCCTTTGGCTGGACAGCTACAAAGAGGAGCTCTCCAGCCAGGGAGGCACTAGAGAATGGGTCCTTGGGCCATCCCAGCCATTAGGGTAGCCCATTACTTGGTAGTCTGTCCTCTCTCCTGCCTGGAAAGAAGACAGGCTGTCAAGAGGCAGACGCCCTGTTTTTTAAATCACCCTATGTGACCAGCTGAGCAGCACATACAGCACCTTAAAGCCAGCAGGGCCAGAAACTAGAGTGGAGTAAGGTCTCTCTGTCACTGTTGCCAGCTCCATGGGCTTTGAAAACATTGCCTGTGCCACCCTGTTATGATCCCTGGTCTAACGAGCAGGGAAGAGGTTTACCTTGCTTCTTCTTCAACGGGTATTGTTAAAACCTGTGGAGCCAACAACCACAACAGTGAGAACTCTCCCTGCCCTGGTTCCCAGCCTGGTGGATTTAAATGCCACCCATAGAAGAAGCAGCATGGCAAACCTCCTTCCCACACCTCAGACCTGGGACCCTGGTCTGAGGAAAACACAGAGCAGAGACCATCTACTCCTCTACTCTGCTCCCACTCTCTAACTAGCAAAGGAGCATAAGATTGTGGATCTAAAGATTCATCATAAAAGTAGCTAGGCCCTATGCCCCTACTGTTTATTCTGGAAGGTCGTTCATTCTCCTGATTAGCCAGAGAGCTTTTCTATTCACCTCTTTCAGTGTGAATTCATCTCTCCTGAGTACCAGTGGCCAGAATTATATACACTACTGTTCAAACTGAAGTTGCACCAGTGCATTGTACAATGATATTAACACTTCCCTATTTAAAAACAAACAAACAGCAATCTCTGTGATCACCACAAAAAATAGCATTGGCCGTGATTTCCCAGGAAATCAACCCCCTCCCCAAAAAATGTAATAAAAATAAAATGCTGGCTCTCTAGTGGGAGCCAGCAGTCCTCACTGCCACTGTGGCGCAGCCTCACAGTCTGCCTGGCAGGGTAAAATGCCAGCTGGTAGCTTGGCAAAAAGGGCAGCAGCTAAGATGGTGGCTGGC